CCCATTTAGCTTCAAAATCATCCCAAAACATTTCTTTCTTCCTATACTAGAGAGCTTTCTTGTGAGTAGTGAGTGTTTTGTAAACACCTGTAAATTTTCTCTCTTAGTAAAAGATCTGCAGCAGCCCGGAGACGTAAGCACAATTGGCTGAACTCCGTTATCAATTTTCGGGTATTATTTTTCCGCTTTTATTTCGCATTCTCACTAATCTGGTTATAGGGAAATTACTTGTACTCGGTTTATTTTCCTAACAACTGGTAATCAGAGCTTTTGGTTGAATTTTGTCAATTTTTCTGCGAGGTTACTATTCATTACTATTCACGTGAATAGTGAATTTCGTGAATAGTGAAATTTCGGTCGGCGATACGAGTTTGTCGATGGTGGTGTTCTAATACACGGTGGTTCGCAAGAATTGTCAGAAACGATCCAAAAGAAGCCAGATTCGAGTGGAAGCGATGGCTGCAGACGAAGGGAAGGTGAAAATTGAAAAGTTCGATGGTGCGGACTTTGGCTTTTGGAAGATGCAGATTGAAGATTTTCTGTACCAGAAAAATCTTTATCAACCTCTCTCAGGAAAGCAACCAGAGGGCATGAAGAATGAAGACTGGGCTCTTCTCGACCGACAAGCCCTCGGAGTCATCCGACTGACGTTGTCCCGAAATGTTGCTTTCAACATAGCAAAGGAAAAGACCACGGCGGGTCTTATGGCGGCTCTCTCCAGTATGTATGAGAAGCCATCGGCCTCAAACAAAGTTCATTTGATGAGGCGATTATTCAATTTGCGGATGACGGAAGGGGCATCGGTGGCACAACACCTAAATGAACTCAACACAATCACAACCCAGTTGAGTTCAGTGGAAATTGAGTTCGATGATGAAGTTCGAGCTTTAATTCTCTTATCATCTCTACCAGACAGTTGGAATGCTACTGTTACAGCAGTCAGCAGTTCGTCGGGAAACAGCAAATTAAAATTCGACGATGTTCGGGATCTGGTACTGAGTGAAGAAATTCGACGGAAAGAATCGGGTGAAGCATCAACCTCCTCAGCCTTGCACACGGAGTCTAGAGGAAGAACTTCAGAAAGATATTCAAATCGTGGCAGATCAAAATCCAGAAGGGAAAAATCTAGAACGGGAAAGCAAGATTTTACCTGTTATAATTGTGGCAAGAAAGGTCACTTTAAAAGAGATTGCCGAGCACTGAAGAAAGATACCGGTGCACAGGAATCTGCCAACGTGACAGAGGAGACAGGTGATGCCATGATTCTAAGCGTCAACAGTCCGATTGAATCATGGATCTTGGATTCAGGGGCATCTTTCCACTCCACCCCATGCCAAGAAATCATGGAGAACTATGTCAGTGGTGATTTTGGGAATGTTCATCTTGCTGATGATGAAACCTTAAAGATCGTCGGAAAAGGAGACATCCGACTAAAGTTGCCAAACCAGACCACCTGGAAGCTGACAGGAGTGAGATATATTCCTGGCCTCAAAAGAAATCTGATTTCTGTTGGACAGCTTGATGGAGAAGGATATAGCACAACCTTTTCAGGCTGTGAATGGAAGATTACCAAAGGAGCACTCGTCATTGCTCGTGGTAAGAAGACTGGTACTCTCTATGTAACCTCAAATTTAGAGAATATCATTGCAGTAGCAGATGCTGATGGAAAATCAAACCTATGGCACCAAAGGCTTGGCCATATGAGCGAGAAAGGGATGAAGACACTTTTGTCAAAAGGGAAGCTGCCGGATCTAAAGAATGTAGATGTCGGACTATGCGAGGATTGCATCTTTGGCAAACAAAAGAAAGTCAGTTTTGCAAAGATTGGCAAGACACCCAAGATAGAAAGGTTAGAATTGGTTCATACTGATGTATGGGGACCATCCCCAGTTCCATCTCTTGCAGGCTCACTATATTATGTCACCTTCATCGATGATTCAACAAGGAAGGTGTGGGTTTATTTTCTGAAGAAGAAATCAGAAGTCTTCGATATCTTCAGAAAATGGAAGGCCATGGTGGAAAATGAGACTGGTTTGAAAGTCAAGCGGTTGAGGTCTGACAATGGAGGAGAGTACAGAGACAGTAGATTCAGAGATTTCTGCGCAAACAATGGGATCAAGATGGAGACAACAGTTCCCAAGACACCGCAATATAATGGTGTAGCAGAGCGCATGAACAGAACTCTGAATGAACGTGCCATAAGTATAAGGATACATGCCGGCTTGCCCAAATTTCTATGGGCTGAAGCAATCAACACTGCAGCTTACTTGATCAACCGTGGGCCCTCAGTTCCTTTGGATGGCAGAATACCAGAGAAAGTTTGGAGCAAGAAAGAAATAAACCTTTCACACTTAAGAGTGTTTGGTTGTATTTCTTATGTACACATAGACTCTGCTGAAAGAAGTAAGCTTGATGCTAAGTCCAACAAATGTGCCTTTGTTGGTTATGGCGGTGATGAGTTCGGTTACCGGTTTTGGGACTACGAAAATCGAAAGATCATCAGAAGCAGAAACGTCATTTTCAATGAAAATGTGATGTACAAAGACAGGTCAACCGTAGAATCAAGTAATATCGAGGCTGAAACAAAGGAATTTGCTGAGTTCGAGGAGATTTCTAAAAATGATGTTCAGATCAGTCCTGAAGCAGTTCAAGAGGAAGAACCAGGCACACCAGAACTGAGACGCTCCTCCAGAATTCCTAAACCAACCCAACGGTATTCACCTTCTTTACACTACTTGTTGCTGACTGACAATGGTGAACCAGAGTGTTATGATGAAGCAATGCAAGTGGAGGATTCAGTCAAGTGGGAGTCTTCCATGAAAGATGAGATGGACTCGCTTATGTCAAATCAGACGTGGGAATTAGCTGAATTACCATCAGGCAAGAGAGCGCTCCATAACAAGTGGATTTACAGGATCAAAGAAGAGCACGATAGGAGCAAACGTTACAAAGCAAGATTGGTTGTCAAAGGCTTTCAGCAAAAAGAAGGTATTGATTACAATGAAATTTTCTCTCCAGTCGTGAAACTGTCTACAATCAGACTGGTGTTGAAAATTGTAGCTGCAGAAAATTTACATCTTGAGCATTTAGATGTAAAGACAGCTTTCCTTCATGGTGATTTGGAGGAAGAAATCTATATGAGGCAGCCAGAAGGCTTCATAGAGGCAGGCAAGAAAAACTTGGTATGCAGGTTGAAGAAGAGCTTGTATGGTTTAAAACAAGCTCCTAGACAGTGGTACAAGAAGTTCGATAGTTTCATGGGTAGTAGTGGTTTTACCAGATGCCAAGCAGATCATTGTTGTTACATCAAGAGGTTTGACAACAGCTTCATTATTTTATTATTGTACGTTGATGACATGCTCGTTGCAGGCTCAAACATGCAAGAGATTATACACTTAAAGCAAAAATTGTCGAAGCAGTTTGCTATGAAGGATCTGGGCGCTGCAAAGCAGATTCTTGGGATGAGGATCAAGAGAGACACAAAGTCGGGGACTTTGATGTTATCACAGGCTGAGTACATCAACAAAGTACTCTCCAGGTTCAACATGCAAGATGCTAAACCAGTAAGTACACCTTTAGGTGTTCATTTCAGACTCTCCAAAGAACAGTCACCAAAGACGGAGGAAGAACGTGCACACATGGTGAAGGTGCCGTATGCCTCAGCAATTGGAAGTCTGATGTATGCCATGGTTTGTACCAGACCAGATATTGCTCAAGCAGTGGGAGCTGTTAGCAGGTACATGAATAATCCAGGCAAAATACACTGGGAAGCAGTCAAATGGATCCTCAGATATCTGCGAGGTACCACAAAACAAAGCACTTTGTTTCAAAGGTGGAGATACGATACTGACAGGCTATGTAGATGCTGACTTAGCCGGAAATGTTGACATCAGAAGGAGCACTACAGGGTATGTCTATACTCTAGGAGGAACTGCAGTGAGTTGGGTTTCTCAACTACAGAAGATAGTTGCTCTCTCCACAACTGAAGCAGAATATGTCGCTGTTACGGAAGCCAGCAAGGAGATGGTTTGGCTCCAAAGTTTCTTGGAAGAGTTAGGCAAGAAACAAGAAAACAATATCTTGTATTGCGACAGTCAAAGTGCTATCCATCTAGCAAAGAATCCGTCTTTTCATTCCAGGACAAAGCACATACAATTGAGATATCATTTTATCCGGTCTCTTCTGGAAGATGGGATTTTGAAACTTGAAAAGATTAGTGGAGCTCAAAATCCGGCAGACATGTTGACAAAGACGGTGACTACGGACAAACTGAAGTTGTGTTCAACTTCAGTTGGCATGCTAGAATAACAAGACCAGACATGCTGCTGCATTGATCGATGTGTGAAGACATATTAAAATCAGTCTTCAAGTGGGAGATTGTTAAAAGTTTCAAAGTTTGGCAACCAACTTTGGAAAATGTTTTTTTTCAAAGTTTGGTAAATGTTTCTTTGAAAAATGTTTTTCAAAGTTTGGTAAAATTTTGGTAGATGTTTGTTGAAAATAGGAATGGGTAAATTCACTTTAGTCGTTGCACTTTAGGGTATTTTCAAATATTAGTCCCTAAGTTTCTACTATAAATACCCTTACCCATTTAGCTTCAAAATCATCCCAAAACATTTCTTTCTTCCTATACTAGAGAGCTTTCTTGTGAGTAGTGAGTGTTTTGTAAACACCTGTAAATTTTCTCTCTTAGTAAAAGATCTGCAGCAGCCCGGAGACGTAAGCACAATTGGCTGAACTCCGTTATCAATTTTCGGGTATTATTTTTCCGCTTTTATTTCGCATTCTCACTAATCTGGTTATAGGGAAATTACTTGTACTCGGTTTATTTTCCTAACATACACTGCATATACAATTACTTGAATTTGAACTTTTAAGTGAATTAAAATATATTCAATTTATAATGAAAAATAAATTTGAAGTACATAATTTCACCTCATATCTCTGTTTCCTATTTTAGCTTTGACAAAAGAGATTTTACATCCCTAATATGACATTAATTTCCCCATAATTATATTTAACCCTAATACTAAGTTAAACTTATTAATCCTTCAACTTCCCCTTAGGAGAGTTTTCATGGGAGATTAGTATTTTAAGCAGCAAGTTACGCCCAAAGTGGTTCCCATAGTGACCCAAAGTTGTTGTTGTCTTCCATAAGGGTGGGGTTGGTGCTGGTGATCAAAATATCCATAGATTGCAGGGAACTTGGTTGAGGAGACGCCGATTGCGCCATCTCCATGCAGAGCATAGCGGCGAGGTTTGCTTGTTGCAATTGCATGTTGGTTACTTCTGCTTGAGCTTTGGCTAGTTGTGCTTGGAGCTCGTTGATTTGCTTCTGCAGTTGGCAAATCGCCCCCGCGCTACCGTAAACCGTATCTCGGATCCTCGCATTCGCCTCATATACCATGCTGCTTACCGCGTCGGTCCTCTGAGACTCGGGAAGTTCCTGAAAATTTTTCAACGTTGACTATGAATGGGAAGTCTACAATTACTATCAACTAAAATCAATCCGTTTCACTATGCTGCGAGAGTAGGGTCATCTCCACATTCAACTTTCTTCCCAAATTGCTGTTTCAAAGTAGTGAGGTTGTAGGTGGGAAATAAAAGCTATTAAGTATCGAAATTCAAACTCAAAAATTAAACTCGAGAAAGGGGTTATTTAAATTTAAATTCGACATACGATGTTTATAAGATTTAAATAATAAAAAATCACTAAAATGGTAACTTTTTCATTATTATATTTTTGCCGTATTTGTCAACGCGTTAACCAAAAGCAAGCCTCTTAGCATTTTCACACTATGTGACAAAGAAACTACTACCTGCAGTAACTTGATAATGTTGCTAGCACCGAACACACGATGAGCAATGGTGAATTTGGCTGGTTCAGTGGGAGGAAAATAAGGTGCCAACACACATTTATCAGCACACCTTCTCCTCAAAATCTTGCAAGCGGCGCAGGGGCTGATAACAACCTGAGGAGGAGGAGGAGGAGGAGGAGACGATGACAGTGAAATCGAAGAATTCGGAGAAAGTGATACTGGAGAAGATGTAGGGGTTGGTTCATATTCCATCTTAAACATGAGGGTTTTAAGGCTTTTCGGAAATGAATAGAAGTGACGAGATTTGGTGTGGATGTCAATTAATACTTGTGGAGGGTTTATTCTCGGATAGAAAGGGTATTATTTATAGTGGAATTAGGCAAAGCGATGATATCATGTTACATGGAACCTGACGTAACTTAACATTGCTGTCTGTCTGCTGGCCGCTTTGCCGTGTTTTAATTTGACCGATTGCAAATATTTTGATTCTTTAAAGTTAAATTATTATTTTCCCCTTTACATATCTTAAGATATATATAACCATATCTTAAGATATATATAACCTGTGCGTTTGGTTCACGATAATTTTTTTTCGAAATTATATTTTTATGTTTAGTTCACAGAAAATATTATTTTCTCAATAATATTTTTTTTCAAATGGTGAAAATGTCATTACTTCCAAATTCTTAGGTATTATATAATTTATACCACTTTGAATAAAAATACCCTTTGATTAATGGATTCTTTTTTATAATAATCCTTCTCAATTCTTATTTTTTTGTACTTTACTCGAAATTATAAATGTAATAATAATATACCAAGAGTTTGATTTACTAAAATATTAATAAATTTAATAATTAAAATATTTTTTATTTTTAATATTCAATATTCAATATTTTTACTATTTATAATTTTATGGGATGAAAAAATATCATAGTAAAAATATAATTATTTAAAATAATATTTAACTTTTAGTTATTAAAAATGGATCTTATATATTGAAAAAAAATATCTTTACCCACTCAATATCATAGTATTTTTTTCATATTATACTACATTTTATATAAATAGATATGATACTTATGAACATTATTTAAAAATATGAATTTAATATACTAATTATATTAATTATATATTAAATGTATTTTTTCTCAAAAGTTAGATAGTATAACGATTAAAATATTTTTATAAATTTTCATTCAAATATTTATAAATTAATATTAAATTTTAACTTTAAAAAACATATATCATAAGAATAATTTGATAAAATATACGACCAAAGAATCTTATATTCTTACAATCAAACAATATAATCTTATATTCATGCTAAACAAACCAAACAAGGTAATGCAACATTCTCATAGTAATGTTACATTCCGTGAACCAAACGCCCCTAAAGAATAGAAGATAAAATATACCATTAATTATTAATTTTTATTTATTTTTTATTTTAATCATTAAATTAACCTTCTGATAAAAAAACCATTATTAATATATCTTTAAAAATTTAACGAAAACATTAATTTGTGATATCATTTAAATTTTAAAATAAAAAACTTATGATATTTGAGTGTTGGAAGGTTATTTTAACACCAAATTTCGTATATAAAAGTTTAGTACATAACTACTTAATGAAGGATCAGATTCACATTATAACTGAGAGGTTGTATCCCTCCAAACTTTGATGATATAATTATTTTTTAAGTCACTAATAGTCCTGAAACCATTACAATTAAATCTTCATTTTTCTTAATTTTTTTGTATAACTGATTCTTAAGACACTATCAGTTTTAAAATTAGTGGAATTAAGTCTTGACCTTAAATTTATTTGATTTAATTACTTTTAAGACCTTAAATTCTAAAATTAGTGAAATAAAACCTTTGATCTCTTAATTTTTATGGTTTCATTTATTTTTAAGATTCTATTTATTTTAAAATTAAATAATTTACATCCCTCATAATTCAATCCTGACCCTTAACTAAACTATATTAAAATTTTATAGTTTTTTGAAATTTATATTTAAACTATAATATGTCACTATATTTAAATCATCTAAAGATATAAATGGGATATATCGAATCAAAAACTCTTACCCGATGTTAAACCCTCCACAAAAATAATTTATTGTAATTAAAAAAATGTAATTATTACTAAACTAATCATATTTCTTTTTAATTATTATGTAGGGTTCAAAAATATCCTAGTTTATATAAAATATTACTTCTTATAGAAATATATAATATACTATGTTACTATTTCTTCTGTCCTAAAAAAAGCTAATGAAAAATTTGTTTATTTTCTTGGTATAAAATTTCTATACCGACCCGCATAACTTAAGAGTAAACGGTATTTTTCTAGAAAGAAAACAAATTTTCCAAGTTCCTCTCCTATTTTCCTGGAGTCATTCGTTAATTTCAAACCACACGCAAAGAAAAAGGAAGTCATTTCGTAATCACATATATGCTGGAAAATGCTTATTTCCATCTTTTGAAAGAAAATAAAAGACATTAAATTATCTAGCGAATAAGTATTAATTTGGTATATACTTTCATTATTATAATAATTTAGATGTTCAATCAGAGAAGAATGAAGTAATAAATGGTTGTGACTAAGTAGTGCACTTATGTTATACGGCATTGATGGTTCATTGAATGGTTCAACATAGCAGCCTCTTGAATTGAAGCCCAAGTTATTAAATCCTTATCCAACGTATTTGGGGATGCCCCGAAACTTGCGTAATTATTAATGCAAAGCCAATCTATTCCTTTAAGGCAAAACCAACTGATTATCAACAAAATGGTCTTAATGACCTACAAAAACTAGTGGAAGTTGAACCAAACCAGCGGGGTCATTGGTTTCAACCCAGTTTTCCATTAAGACTTAGACTGCCAGTGTCACTAGTATTTTTTCATTCAAACACTGACTAAATGCAACCTCAATTGTCCGTCGTCTAAATTCATGCCCCTTTTCCTAAATTTCAATGACTCAAACCAGTGCAGAAAACGGTAAATTCACATCGGTTGAAGGCCCAGTAAGATTTAAATTAGGGTCATGAACATGTTTTGGATAATGCAATGCGTTGTACTCGTGGGGCACGCGCGGTAGGCTAATTGTGTAGAGAAACAAGCATGAGTTCAACTTTGAAAATGTGAGCAAAGCGCAGGAAACTCTGAATCAAATACCACCTTCCTACCTAAAATCTTTAATCAAATACCACAGTGTTGTAAATTAAGAGCCTTACTAGATAGACGGAGCTTATGTCACTCAACCTCTTCAAAATAACTGCGATTACGTGTTTAATATTATATAGGGTAAACTATTCACACGACCACTTTATTGTTGATTCTTTTCATTTTAACCATCGATTTTGAGATTTTATCAATCAGATCATCTGGTTATTTAAGTGTTTCAATCAAAACACTTGCCGCTAACATTTGATGACGTGACTATTAAAAAATAGTATAATTATTCATTTGCTCCTTAATATTTATACATTCTATCAATTTAGTCTTTATTTCAATTCAATTAAATAAATTTAATATCCAATTAGATAGAGATCACCACCTTATCAAAGGAAAAATAGATTACCAATAAAATATAAAATATAAAAGAATCTAATATTTTAGAAATTAACGTAAGTTATTTAATTTGAGTTTTCTTCCGTTGTGATTTATTTAATTTGTGGACTGACTGGAATCTTAATGTTGTATATTAATGGACTGGATCTGCATCTAAATATGATACCTTCCTTTTTTTTCTAAAAAGAATCCCATGGTATTTAAATAAATAATAACAATAATGTTTCAAATCACGATATCTGTTTAATATAATATTCTTTATATTTAGGATTAAATAAGGTTCGATCATTTTGATGTACATTTTACTTGTTTGAGGTACATATTTTTGTTCTCAGTGCCAACTTCGAATCAGACGGCTCCTTTCCCAAATAAAGAAAGCTTAATATAAAAAAATGGTTCAAATCATATCGTTTTTCTCAAAATATTTATTTAAAAAAAATTTAACTTTTTTACGATGAATACTTATATCTCAATATAAGCGATATTTAATTCAGAACCTCAAATGATAACAACAAATCTTTTAACCACCGAGGTCATTTGTTTCGTGCTTAATATATACATGTATATAAATTTCTGACCAATATAAATTATCATTCATCGTAATTATAATGATATAGTGTTTCACAATAAATTATGACATGATAAACGTTTTGATTGATTTTTTAAAATTGTTTTTAAGAATTTAATATTTTTTTTTTTAAATGAGGGCTTGTTTAATTTAAAAATAATAATAATTATTAAAATTTTAGATAATTTTATCAAAAAAATATTCAATTATCTCTCATAAATATGAGTTTACAATTATTTATTGAATATATTTTCAGTCATAATATAATATAACTTTTTGAATATTGTAACATCGTTTAGGTACAATAACAATATAATTGTTACATAATCATACTCGTACAATTTACATCATCTTCATTTATTCTTATAATTAAATCACTTTTAAAAAAATTAATAGTTTATAATTTAATATCATCTCAATCATTTAGACATGTCAAACATATACACATTAACTTCAATATATATTTCATATTTGAATAAGCACGTAAACATATTTTCATATCAAAAGTGATTAAAATATATCATTTATCATATAAATTATACAATAACATTATTAACTTAACATGTATTATATATATAACATTTTATTAAATTATAAAAAAATTATCACCTAAAAATACCAAAGATGACGTTAAGATGACTCCAAAATTTAGATTTTTTCCCGTATTCTAGCACCGAAAGATAAGAAAAAATTAAAACCAAATTTAAGTTGCAATTGTTCCATTCACAAAAGGTATGCAAAAACCCTAAAAACAGTACAGATATCCTCAACAGAGGTAAAGCTTCCATTACATGTCTTTTAACTGTAACCATGTTTTCTAAAGGTGGATCCGACTTGGTTGTGCCTTTGTCATACTCGCATGGCCGTACGGTTCATCGTTATCTATCTTCTTGTTGTTTCGGAAAGCAGCGCAGCCAACGACATAAAAGATGACAAGGAGGATAAGCACGACGATGTTGATTACCGAGACTTTCCTCCAGCTTTTCCTGAGGCTGCCGAGCACCCCAGCTTTGCACGAGTCACATTGGTAGCACAACATCTGTTGGTCGTTGCTCCACCGTGAGCAGTCAAGGTCCGACCCAACCAGCCCACCGCCTGGGTTCCACAGCGTCTCGTTGACATAGACATAGCCACAGTCGGTAGGTGGCTTGCAGCAACCGGACTACAATTAAGAAGTTTTGGCTTTCATTAATTACTTAAACACTAATATTTTGCGTTAATGGTAACATATAGTAAAATTTGAGTCGAAAAAATCAAAATTTTCAGTTTAACTCAATATTAAAGCTTGACTCATAATTTCATAAATTTAATTCGACCCAAAAAAATTCAAATAAACTTTTAATTATAAAATAAAACTTAAACTTAAAATTTTTAGTTATTAGATGATTAATTTTTAAGTTAGACTCGAGTTTAAACTATCTTTCTATATATATAATTATATAAAACCGTTTAAATTAAAATCAATTAGTATCATAATATTATAAATATTTAGTTTAAATAAAAATTTAAATAGTTTTTTAATTAAATCATTAAATAAGAATAGTAAACTTAATTAATTTAAAATATTTTAACTCAAATAGATCAAATATTCACCCTATAAATAGTCCCTCACCAACCACCACCAAAATAGAAAAAAAGGTTTTGTATGCATGTGAAGTCTTGAAGGAGCATAGCTGGAATCATTCCATAAATTTTGGTAAAAATATTCGGCAATTAATTAAATTGTAGGAATCTGTTTGGCATCCGAGAAAATGAAATAATTCCCACATTTGTTTTTCTTTCATCTTTCTAGCTTTAGGATTCAGGAAGCAGACAAGAATAAAATAATTATAAAAAAACAAAAGAAAAGGAGATGAACCTACAAAAGGCAATCAATTAAGGATAAAGCAAGACATGATTTGTATCATCCAACTTTTACAAAATTTCTAATTTTATTAGATTATTTAACAATAAATATTAATTTTTTAATTTAATTATTAATATAAAATAGCAGTAAAGTACGGCGTGCCTTTATGCATTATCAGATATAATAAGTGAACCGACGCCATTTTGGGACTTTTTATTTTCGAAATTCCAAAATTAAAATAAGATGTGCCCATTTGTGATACAGAGACATAATTATTGGGTTCGTCAAATCAGCAACCGTCCATTGTGGTCCACCCAATTTTATTTATACAATTATCAAAATTGCAAATAATAATAATTTACAAATTTACAAAAAATAAACAATTTCAGAAAAAAAGAGAAAAAATTTTGAGTGGTCCAACCCATCAACCGCAGTGGAGGTCGCCTAGATTAATCTGGCAGAGCTGTACTGGGCACTGCTAGTGACACCGAGTTGACTCAAATTTAAATTTTCTTTTAAATGATATAGTTTATTTTTTAGAATAAATCGAAGAATATTAATGGGGAGATTGTTTTTTATAATTAAAATTTTCATATATTAAATATATGATTCACACTTTTATTAATAATTTTTTTTTATTTTATAAAATATATATATTCGATAAATTATTTTTTAAAATTATATAAATTCGACCAAGATAAAATCATTCATCCGTTACCGTTTATTTTATTCTATTAACAAAAAATCATACCCTTAAATGGATCTACTTGTGATCAAACCAGTAAATATGGTAAACCATGTAATAAAATTCGAGGAAAGAATTGCATACCTCAATAGGAGAAAGCTTCCTAATGGAAAACATATCATAAGTTTCAGGGACGCCGTTAAAGGATCTTCCCATCTTGCTACAAGTTTTGGAATCCCTTATGCATGAGCTAATCTTAGCCCAATACCCCTCGTCCACCACTCGGTCTTTGAGCCAACCCGAGTAATCCGGCAGGTAATACTCCAAGTATCCTTTGTTCATCACCGGCCGCCCCGACCCTTTGTCAGTGACTGCGTAAGCAAAAATTATGAACCCGATGAGCGCCGCAATGACGAAGAACATCACGAAGAGGTAGAACCACATCAAGAAGGTGTTCCTGTAACACGCGCCGGCGAAACCCGCCAAGGAAACCACCATGATGGAGGCTCCTATCACTATCAACGGCCACTGTAGGAACTTGAGACAATCGGTGTTGTTGGCTCGGCTGCTCAGCCATATTCCGCCGCCCAATATAACTACCGACAGCAAAAATGTCATGAAATTCAGTAACCCTATCAAATGGTTGCTTGACCTCATTTTTTCTGGGATTTTTTTTTCTACTGAGAGAAGCTGCTTACGAGTTAATGCAATGAAATGGATCTGTTCTAGATGCAGGTGTTTTTTTTCTTACATGGGTTGATGGGTATGTTACGGTCTTTAAGGATGCTAATCGCTTTGGGTTTCTTACACGTGTCCGTCATGGTTTGGAATCACAGAAACACCCTTAGATTTTCATGTATTTTATAATATAATTATATGGAATTATTAGAAGATTTTTTGCTTGACTTTAGGAGTTGTTATATTATGCTGTGTATAGTTTTCGTGAAGCTACCAGCTGAAATATGAACAGTTTGAAAGTTACTGGGGAATTGCATGAGTGATGATGGGATATTGTCAAAGCCCATGTGAGCTCTCTCATTCATTTTTTGAATATATGCTTCCTAGTTAATTGCAATACTAAGTAAGACATATGCTGAACATGATTTATCAAAATAAAATCTAAAATATAATATTCAGATATGTCTAATCTGTTAATTTATAAATAAACATAATAATTTTACCATTGATACACATATTAAAAACTATTATAAATATTTCAATTAAAATTTTTACTTATTCTTAAATTATGATAATTTAATTTTTGAAAATTTTAAATATGTTAATAATAATTAATAGAATTAACACTTAATACATTCATCATATTCCTTCTTAACGAAGAAATTGCTGAGATTTGAAATTGAAAAGATTGGGTTGTCTGTTTGTACAGGTGGAATTTACGTGTTACGGTTCAGTTGGTAGTGAGTAGTAGTGGAATTGATTAGCGTTAATTGGCATGTGCAGTTATATGATTGCTGGCCATTTGCCAAAAACTTCAACCCTTCATAGGAGCGGCTGTTGTTTAGACAGATCAACCTTATCAACATTTATAACTATTTAATTATACATAATAATTTGATATATAATACCAGTTGATAAGATTAAACTATTATAGATATCTTAAATTTCTAAGAAGAGAATTATTCCAGGTGTTAGATTTAACATCGTACGAATTTCGATAGGAACAAAAGTATTTAATATCTATATTTGAATTGCTTTTGATTTCCATCATATTTAAATATAGTATTTAATAAAGATCTCGATGTAATATTATATTTTTTCAAAAGACTTGTTGAAATAATCGTGTCTATAAAATATGTGTATTTTAAGAAAGAGAAAAGCAGGGCTAACAATTGTCACTGAAACATCTAAAATACATCGTAGAATAAATTAATCAATTTCATTTTGTAAATTATATCTTAAACACAATTCTATTATAATTTAAAATGCTGTAATATTTTAGAAATCAAGTAGTGCACGAAGGTAAAATGTAGAGGGTTGAAGAATTGACAACCTTAATCGTGGGATATGAGAACGCATTGGGCTCGATATCCGTTTCACCGAACAAAAACGTATAACTGCACATACCAATTAACGAATCGGGCTCGATATCCGTTTCGCTGAAACTAAAGTAAATTAATGTTTAAAATTTTTAAATATCCATTTTAAATTATTTCTCGAATTAATATCTTTTTATATTATATAAAATAAAGATATTTTTCATGAAATGCTTTTGAAAAGATTTTCTTTTTATAAAACACGTCTTCTACTAATATTGTAGAAATAAATCAAAATTTTTAAAGTTGAATTGAATTAAAGTGAAAGAAAAAAAAATTAAAAATTAAGAAGAAATTATTTTCAAAACAAACGCATACAATAAGCGTTGAGATACATGATTATATAAATAATCATATGAGAACCAGCATACCACCTATAATTTGCTTGGGGACATGGGTTTTAGGGTTGTAAAACGAGTGGGGTCGAGTTCAAGGATTATTGAACTCGACTCGATTCGAAAGATCTAAAGTTAAGTTTAATTTGATTCGAAAATTCATAAATTTAAAATTATCAAATTTTAAATTTAAAATAAAAAATAAAACCCTACTCAAATTTTAAAAAAAATAAACTTAAAATATTTTTAAATTTAACTAAATTCAAATTCGAACTCATGATTTATTTTATCTTATTTACATCCTTTCGTCGAGCACACACTATCTATCTCCATCAATTTTTCCATTTGTTTATTGATACGTCCACTACTTCTCTTTTTTCGTCCACTGTTAAAAAGAAACTGCACCTATGATCTACCAGCTACGAAAACAAACAAACAAAAACATAGACTAATAAACTAAAAGGCAGTGAAACAACGATCCCTCGGGTTCCGCGCCGAAGAAAATTAGCAAAGCAAAGAAGACTCAACACTCTACTAACCCTGAAAAATAAAACAGGAAAAAAGACACAGCCTTTTGATTTGAAGTTTGAACATCCATTTCCAGTTGATTGTCTCAGGAAAGACGGATTAATATACGATTAATATATAGTATTACTAGATACATTAAAATATATTTAATAAATTTAGTTTAGCGTTATCGGAAATGTTGACTAATAATAATGTAGTAGGTCTAAGTCATGAAGAAATATTAAAAAATTATGCAACCGGTAAACTTAACTTGTCGGTTCGTGTCTATCCAAATTAAAAATGTGTCGATCCAAAACGATATAACATGTAAAACTATGACAAAACCGGTATTGAAATGATAAAACCGGTAAAGCGCTACCGGATACATTTAAAGTGTCGGTACTTTAATATAAGGATCGACACTTCGTAAATTTAAAAGAGAATCAGTTTTAAATCCTATAAAGTGTCGATACTTTTAAAAAATGTATCGATCCAAAACGATATATCAGGTAAAAATATGATAAAACCGGTATCAAAATGATAAAACCCGTAAAACGTTACCGGATATATTGAAAGTGTCGATACTTTATATAAGGATCGACACTTTGTGAATTTAAAAGAGAAGCAGTTTTAGCGCCTATAATGTGTCGATACTTTAAAAAAATATATCGATCCACAACGATATAACAGGTAAAAATATGATAAAATCGATACCAAAATGATAAAACCGATAAAACGATACCAGATATATTGAAAGTGTCGATACTTTCGTAAGTACGTGTAATAAATTATCGACACTTTCAAAGAAATAGGTAAATATCATTTCGAAAGTATCGACACCTGACATAAAAGTATCGATACTTTTGTATTTGTATCGATTAAATATAAATAACATATCCGATGAAAATATAAAGGCCATAACTAAATATCCTCTGAAAATAGATAGAACGGACAAGTTTTTGAAATCGAAGCGTAATTGTTGCTGCATATCAGAAGGCGTTTCTAAAGCGAAGTTCGTTTGTTTGTTGCTGCAGTCGAATCGAAAAGTATGTTGTCAAAACCCTAGTTTTAAATTATTACAGTAATAGGAAATAGGGTTTTTATGTGTTGTTTGGGGTTTTAGAGTAAAGAAGCATTTGAGAAAGATTACAGGTAGAAAGTGATATTCAAGGTAAAATATAAATGTCAATACTTTTATTAAATATTATAGGTAAAAAATGATATTATAGGTTGTATAAATGTTCTGACACATTTTGTAGTGGTCATTCAAATTCTTTTGAAGAAAACCGTTTTACCACAAGAGTAGTTATCTATATTTCTATATTGAATAAAGTGTATGTAACAAGTATTTGATTTGATTTGCGTAAACTGATATATGAAGGAAAAATGGAGTCAATGGGTGAAAAAATTGTTGGTGGCGCATATGACTTTGAAATTGAGGCCAAGACTCGAAAGCAACCAAAGGGTGGATATATGTACTTCTAGTAAGTATCAATGTCTTTTTGTTATTATTGTTGAAATGGTAATTGGATTAAAGTATCGATAAACTTTAAATTGATTATAAATTTTAAATGTTGACAATATGGTCGAATGCAAAAGGATGAAGGAAGATGGCACACAGAGCGGTTCGGTATGTAAAATGAAATTGACATTGAGTAGTATTTAGTGTTAATGTATAGATTAAGAAACGTTTATGTTTAATATTAGGTGACAAAAGATGTGAGGTCCAAATGGAATTCAATGAGTGATGTTGAAAAGGAACCTTACATCACACAGTCAAGGAATGATAGTAAAGAATACAAAGAACGGAGGAAAGCACATGAAAATAAGGTATTCATTAAACTTCTAAATACGTTGATACAAAATATATAAGAAATATAACATTATATATTGTTAAAAAATGTAGGAAGTGTCGACAAGATACAACATTAAAAAGGTGAATTCATTAATTAAACACCTTAAGGAGAATGGTCAGTTGAATGTGCTGGGAGAAATAAGTTTTGGATCGTTGGTAGGAGTAAGGGATCGACCTATTCGGAGGGAATTATGTCGATCCTTGATGGCGCAATTTGATGTCAGACAATGTATTGCTAAGTATGGTGATTTTTCATTTCCTCTCGGGATCCCATGTGCTGCAGCCGTATTGGGGGTAGAAAATGAAGGCAAAAGTGTTGTAGAAGTCTGTAAGAGTAAGGACTGGAAAGCACTTGCCTCCAAATATAGTTTGAAGCAGAAGGTGACATATGCTGAAATTGAAGAGGAAATAAAAAGTAGATCTTACGTTGGGAATGAGCTGAAGGCCAAAGTTCTATTATACCTTGTCGGTATATTTCTTTGTCCAACGGGTCATACGTCAACGAACAAGGAACATATGAAGCTCATTTGCGATGAAGGCTTGAAGGGTGAATTCAATTGGGCTGAATATATCCATTCGAGATTGATTGAATCAATAATCACCTTTAAAAAGGGCAGCCAGAGATACCTCAAAGGGTGCATAGCAATCTTAGAGGTAAATAAGTTGAAGAACTTTTTTGTGTTTTTATATAAAAATATAAATTTTATTATAAATGCAGGTTGCACTGTTCGATTTTTGGTCAGGCTGTGAGGCAGTGCCGGCTTATGAAAGAACCGAAGTGGCACGCATCCGTGCATGGGGGAAGGAAGAGGTGGTTAGAGTGATGGTGAAGTTGAAGTTGGATAGAGCGAAGAAGCAAGAAAGGGTAATAAATGTAATTAAATAATATTAAGAATATAATCAATGTCTTAATATTGTAATTTAATTTTGAAGGTTATTGGAAAGGATGTAGAGGAAGCAGTGGAGGCAGAGGCGAAGAAATGACAGATGGTTGTATCAGGGGATGACGGTGAGTGGGATGACGGTGAGGGAAAACATAGTAACTTCGACATTTTGATGTCTGAATTGGCTGATATCAAAAAAAACCAATTTGATATCATGCAAAGATAATCAAGAGTCGAAGAGAAACGTGAGAGAGTCGAAGATACACTTGAGAGGCATAAGGGGGTAGTGGAAGGAAAAATAGATGGAGTGGTGAAGGAAGTAGAGGTGTTGAGGGGTGAAGTGGTGAAAGAAGTTGGGGTGTTAAAGGGTGATATTAAGATGGTGACGGGTGAAAAATTTGAGGGAGTGGTGAAGGAGGTTGTGGAATTGAGGAGTGAACTTACGGGGGTGAAGGGGGTGGTTGATAAATACTTGGATGAAGGAGATCAATTGAAGGGTGAAATAAAAGAGATGAAGAGCTATGTAGAAAAAAAATACGATGAACTGAAAAAATATGAAGAAGAAAAGAAGGAGGAGGAAGAAGAAGAGATGGAAGAAATGAGGAGGAAGGAAGTCAATGTCGTTTATACACCGGAGAGTGTTATATCAGCAGATTTGATTCGGAATGTCCTGCACCCCAAAAGAAGAAGCAGAAGGTAAGTTGAATAAAAGAAAACTTAATTTGATTTTTATTATGTTGTTGTGACAAAAATTTGTATGCAAAATTGTAGGTTGAAAAAGCGGATATTCCAAGCGGAATTGATGACATCGAAGCTGCAATTTGTGATTATTTATGGAATAGTGAGTTAGAATCGGAGTAAGTGAAATATATTGCTTTGTGAGTTATATTTAAATATTTCATGATAAAATATTAATCCTAATGATTCATACAGATATTCTGTAATCTCAATGGGAAATCAATTCGCTAGTGTATACGACGTTGCAACGTTGAAGCCTACGGAATGAGTTGGCGGTGTGGTAAGTAGAAAGTAGAAAATGTTAAAACTTTTTGAATATGTTCTGATTGTGTAATTAATTTTGTTAGGTTATTGATTTGCTCGCCTTGACAGTATGCTACGATTCTCAGAAGTCACTCCGGAGGATTGGCTACCTTCCATACCACTTAGCGGTGAGTTAAATTAATAAATGGAGATAAGTAGTGTTATAGACGGTAAATTAATAATGTTTGTTGCGTAATTGCAGCAGCAGGCGTTGGATGCCAACAGCAAAGAAAGTGTTGAGAGTATTGCTACCTTCTAGGGTCCCATATTGAATAACTATGTGAAATTCACCGACTGTGAGAAGGTAAGACACCATACCAATTGCAAATGATGTTTTCGGATATAGAATGTTGAATTTTGTCAAATTGGGTGTGAAATTTGTTGCATATCATGATCACAATAAACTACCATAATTCACATTGGTATCTGTTGGTGTTGGATATGGTAGATCGTGTTGCAACAATATATGATAGTATGTTTACAACTGAAGCAGCTAAACAGAGAGTGAAGGATGCTAAGAGATTGGTATGTATGTATGTATGAAAGGACATTATGTAAATTATAATGCATAATTTTTTTGGATCATAACTTCTTCTATTTTAATGCAGATTAAAATATTAGATTTTTATAATAAGAAACGCATTTGGGTTGAATCCTGTGGATCTCTAGGAAAGTATCCCTTGAAAAATTTCAAATTTGTAGAGCATAAGAAGAATAAGCAATTGAATGGGTATGAGATGTTATCACAAATAGAAAGCTTAATTTATGCAGTATTCATCATAATTGACATGTGTGGTTTTCAAATTTTGTAACAGACATGATTGTGGCATGTATGTGATAATGTGGATGGAATCGATCGGTTCTACAGGGGCAACTGGTGATTTTGTAAGCGGAAAGAAAAATTCGTTTGTGGTAAAATTGTTAAAAGTCGTAGATTGAATGCTGTAGTTTACAATACATAACGTTCTGACAATTTGAATATAGGTTGTTGGAGAGTGGGATCGATCGCGAATTTAAACGATCTCGTAAGCCACAATCAAAATCAACGAAGATAGGAGATAACAAAAGCTGTCATGATACATAAGAATAACAAAAGGATGCAATGATGTAAATGTAGGGTTAATTTTGTATAAGATTTATAATTTTGTATACGATTTATAATTTTGTATGTGAATATAATTATGAATGAGATGAGAAAAGTTAGCAGTATGTTGTTGTACATGTTTCTTATACACATTAAGGGTCATGTTGATACTTACGATATATGGAGATTGTTGTCTGTATTATACCAAATGTCATCATAATTGTCATCATGTGTGAGAATGAATGGTCATTCCATATATATTGAGGGTATGTACAATAACTACAAAATTCACTTTAAAGTAAAAGGTAAATTTACAATATGGCAAACAGGGTACAACCATAAAGTGTCGATCCATATATAAAGAGTGTCGATCCCATAAACATCGAAACCCAAAAGTATAATGTAATAGGTAATTTTTCAATCTAATCGGTACAAGTATACCGGTTTTATGAGAGAATATGTCTAAATAATGTATCGACACTTTTGTAGTTTGTGTCGATATTTTTGGTCCAGAATGAATGGCAAACAGGGTGCAACCATAAAGTGTCGATCCATATATAAAGAGTGTCGATCCCATAAACATCGAAACCCAAAAGTATAATGTAATAGGTAATTTTTCAATCTAATCAGTACAAGTATACCGGTTTTATGAGAGAATAAGTCTAAATAATGTATCGACACTTTTGTAGTTTGTGTCGATATTTTTGGTCCAGAATGAATGGCAAACAGGGTGCAACAATAAAGTGTCGATCCATATATAAAAAGTGTCGATCCGATAAACATCAAAACCCATAAGTATAATGTAATAGGTAATTTTTCAATCTAACCGGTACAAGTATACCAGTTTTATGAGAGAATAGGTCTAAATAATGTATCGACACTTTTGTAGTTTTTGTCGATATTTTTGGTCAAGAATGAATGGCAAACAGGGTGCAACAATAAAGTGTCGATCCATATATAAAAAGTGTCGATCCGATAAACATCGAAACCCATAAGTATAATGTAATAGGTAATTTTTCAATCTAACCGGTACAAGTATACCGGTTTTATGAGAGAATTGGTCTAAATAATGTTTCGACACTTTTTTAGTTTGTGTCGATATTTTTGGCCCAGAATGAATGGAAAGGGGGCAACAATAAAATGTCGATCCATATATAAAAAGTGTCGATCCCATAAACATTGAAACCCATAAGTATAATGTAATAGGTAATTTTTCAATCTAACCAGTACAAGTATACCGGTTTTATGAGAGAATAGGTCTAAATAATGTGTCGACACTTTTGTAGTTTGTGTCGATATTTTTGGTCCAGATTGAATGGCAAACAGGGTGCAACCATAAAGTGTCGATCCATATATAAAAAGTATCGATCCCATAAACATCTAAACCCATAAGTATAATATATTAGGTAATTTTTCAATCTAACAGGTACAAGTATACCGGTTTTATGAGAGAATAGGTCTAAATAATGTATCGACTCTGTTTAATGTTTTGTCGATACTAATTTAAATATCAAGTGTTTTTCCACCATTCATTATATATAGTACTCTAAAATTGAAAAACCCTAAACATAAAGACAAGCAGACAGAAGATAACTCTTCCTCTCCAAAGAATACTAGCGTTATCATAACAGTGACGATCAGATATTCAGGTAAATTTATCGATATTTTATGGGTTTGATTGATTTCTATATTGGAGTTTTTTTTCCTGAATGTGTTTGTGTTCCATTGTAATAGCATCCAACCAAAATGGCTCCAAAACGTCAACGTCAGAAGCGCGGTCTTTCTCAAAGCTCTTCTCAACCCAGTTCTTCTCAACCATAACCTCCTTCTGAAACAAACGATTCTTCTGAGGAAATCAGGTCCTTCGAAACTCTGAACTTTAGATCCGATATAGAGAAACAAAGATGGCAGACGAGTTTTAAAGTATGGAAGATTCGTCCCGAACGTGTCATTGACCTGGGTTTCTTGTTTGATGATAAATATGCATTTAGTTTTAAATCCACATTTACATTTTGGGGTTGGCTTGAATTCCTTGGTGTAGAACCAAGATATTATCCCAACCTAGTTAGAGTCTTCTACAACAATGCTTCCTTACAGCAGGAGCCTAATAAGACTAATATAATAGGAATTAATACACATGTCATGGGGAAGGATATATATATATATATCTCCGGAAACTATTGCGGAGGGTTTAGGTGTAGCGAATAAAGGGGATTCAGATGAAAATGGTGTAGATTGGTCTACAATTAAACGGGTTGCTAGAAATAGCCCAATTCACCTCGATGTAGAGTTGAGAGTGTTTCACAAAATGCTCACATGGTATATCTGGCCTAGTGGGGGAAAACATTCAACGCTTCGAGACATCGATTATTGGTGGATAGCAAAGTATAAATCCAAATCCAAAACGGCTCCAAACATTGCAAAACTCATATTTAATACAATTGTATATATGGTCACAAAGGGAGCAACAATTTCTACTGCACTACCATATGGATGTGTCATAACCCATCTGTTGAAGAAGAAGGAAATTGATTTTTCGCATGACGCCCCTGTTCGATTAACCCGCAAGATTGACATGGTATTTATTAAAAAAGCGGGATATGATTTTGTTGAAAAACTCGGTTGGAAGCGTGTCAAGGATGTCGGATTAGATCAAGAGAGGGAGGAAATGGACCCCATTGGCCATGAAGAAGAGCAACCAAGTGGAGACGCAATGATGGAAGAAGCTCCAGTTACAGAGGATGTCACAATTAAGACCGTGATGGAATACATGGTCAATTTTCGGGAGCATATTGATTCCCTTGTGAGTGGAATGCGATATGATATTTCATCATTGCAACGTAAAGTCTCCATGTTGCGTGACGAATTACGTCAACGACATCAAACGAGTTAGGTAATTCATTATTTATGTTTCTAAACATTTACACGTTCTGAACTGTATTTTATTTTCTTTTAACATATATTGACAACCAAGCGGTCAATGAAGATAAAGCTAACGATGAAGATGACGATGACGACGACAATGATGATGATGATCCAAACAAGTATATCGTGTCTGCAACGCCGCCTTCAAGAAAACTTTTAATTTTTGATCTCAATGGTGTCCTTGCCTATATCCCAAGACGGCCTGCAGGTTTTAATTCTATTCTTTTGTATCCATTATTTTAACATATAAGCGTAGAACATTAATCTCATTTTCTTCATGTTGTAGATGTTGTCCTCAGAACAGGATTATTTGAATTTATGCAATTTTGTGTCGACAATTTTGTTGTTGCCCTTTGGTCTTTAAAGTTGAGGTTAGAACATGTTTGGAGCAATTGAATTACTGTAGTCAAAATCGTTAATATATATTTGAATGTTAACATTCAAACTTGATTACAATCTCAGGCATAACGTCGACCGTGTACTTGAGAAACTACCTTTATTTTCTGAGCATTTTCTATTCGTGTTGGTAAGATGAATGTCATTACAGTTTGCTGACTTTTCGTTGTCTATGATTCCTACATATTTATGTTCGACTGTTTGTGAACAGGATCAAGCAAAATGCAAAACATACGATACTGTTACCTACTGTAAAGATCTCAATGATGTTTGGAACACGTGTCCAGATTTTAACGAGCTAAATACACTTTTGGTCGATGATTCAATGGAAAAAATGATTTATAATCCGGTAAGTTGCATTTATGCAATATGTTTTTCCAGTTGAACAGGTGTTCAGACATTGATTATTTTAACAACTTATGTGTTTATATAGAAATACAATTACATATGTCCACATACCTTTGACGCTGCTTCCCATTCGAACGACAATGCTCTAGGTATGACACAAATTTATTCATGCTTATGCGAATTTAGTTTATTGTTAGTAAAATTGCACCTCATTAGTTTGATAATTGAAATTATTTATGTATGTCCTCAGAAAAAGGCGGAAACATACGAGAGTATTTGGAAAATTTGTTGAAGGCCTCTAATGTTCCGGACTTCGTTAGAAATAACCCTTTTTCATCGGATTAATTTCGTTTGTCGGTACATTATTTGAACATTCTTGTGTATGTATATTTTGGTGTGATTATATTGTGTGTATATTTTCATTAATTATTCCATATTTACTTCTCTGTATACATATACATTTGAGGATTGTTGAAATATCAATACTAGTTATTAATGTATTTTACATCTGCTTGCAAATGTATCGAAACATATTACTATATCATTATTTTTCATGATATCCACAACAAAGTTTTCACACTTTTTAATATTGTGTCGGTACTTTATGTCCAGAATGGAAGAAAAATGTGTCGATATCTTGTCAAAAAGTGTCGATATTTACACATCGGAACCCAGAATTATAATGTAATAGATAATTTTGTAATATAACCGGTATAAATATACCGATTTTATGAGTGAATAGGTCTACAACCTATATCGACACTTTTTAATATTGTGTCGGTACTTTATGTCCAGAATGGAAGAAAAATGTGTCGATACCTTGTCAAAAAGTATCGACATTTACACATCGGAACCCATAATTATAATGTAATAGATAATTTTGTAATATAACCGGTATAAATATATCGGTTTTATGAGCGAATAGGTCTACAACCTATATCGACACTTTTTAATATTGTGTCGGTACTTTATGTCCAGAATTATAATGTACTAGATAATTTTGTAATATAACCGGTATAAGTATACCTGTTTTATTAGCGAATAGGTCTACAACCTATGTCGACACTTTTTAATATTGTGTCGGTACTTTATGTCCAGAATGGAAGAAAAATGTGTCGATACCTTGTCAAAAAGTATCGACATTTACACATCGGAACCCAGAATTATAATGTAATAGATAATTTTGTAATATAACCGGTATAAATATACCGGTTTTATGAGCGAATAGGTCTACAACTTATATCGACACTTTTTAATTTTGTGTCGGTACTTTATGTCCAGAATTATAATGTACTAGATAATTTTGTAATATAACCGGTATAAGTATACCGGTTTTATTAGCGAATAGGTCTACAACCTATGTCGATACTTTTTAATATTGTGTCGGTACTTTATGTCCAGAATGAAAGAAAAATGTGTCGATACCTTGTCAAAAAGTGTCGACATTTACACATCGGAACCCAGAATTATAATGTAATAGATAATTTTGTAATATAACTGGTATAAATATACCGATTTTATGAGCGAATAGGTCTACAACCTATATCGACACTTTTTAATATTGTGTCGCTAATTTTAAGTAACGCGGTTTTTCTTCCTTCATTTAAAATATTTATATGTACATATTTCTTATACACAATAGGAGTCATGTTGATACTTACGATGGAGATCGTTGTCATTCCATTCCGTCTTCGAAAAAATCAGTTGATGTAGGCTGTGTGCTTGTACTCAAACTGAGCTTGACTTGAGGACATGTTAGTTTGTTATGTCCCTCACCGTTGCAGTACCCACATCGCCTAATTTTCTTCTCGACCTTGTTCTTCGGCACTTCTTTTCGCTTGCGTTGTTTTCGTTGAGGGTCACGAACGTTGTTTACTACAATGCTCTGGTTGACTGAATCATTTAAACCAAACGAGTTTTCTAATTCTTCTATTAGTTTTTTCATCTCATCTCTTGCAGTTTTGAAAGACTCGTCTGTCTTTGATGCAATGTAGCATAACCTACTTGACGTTGAACGTAGAGCAGCGAACCTTGCCATTTGCATCACTTCTGGAGACACATTCAAATCAACATAACTGGGTGCAGAAGCCTTCGCATCATTAGTCCACCTATTTTGAATCAAAGTCCCGAGCAAAAATGTGTAGTCCAAGTGCTTCAAAATGTGAAGTTGATGGCGACACGGAAGTCCAACGGTCTCGATTTTTTGAAGGAGCAAATTAGAGTTTTCGTACGAGAATCAAAACTAATTTCAAATTTCCTTTTTTTTTCTGCGTACTTTGACAAAATATAATGTTGACATTCATCTGATAAGGACTTAATCTCTGTCTCAATCCGATACAATGTCTCCCGTATAAGTTCATCTTGGAACACACGAAAAGATTCGCGGGTAAAAATCGCAGCGGTATGGCTTTCAAGGTCGACCAGTTTTGTGATCTGGAAGGGCTTCGTATGGGAACTTAAGTAATCCGCTTTCAACTCGTTCATACGCATTCTACTAATTCCATCTTCAATTGCACGAACAACATCTAAATATGTCTTCTTGTGTTTCAGTGCAATAGCTAGTGAAGTATTCATAGACTCGTACCTTTGTGTTAAGCGAATATTGGCAAATAAATGACCGGTTAGATATGCTTGTGCCCATAAGTGTCGTGTATTTCCCTTCTCAATCACCCATGGATGCTTTTAGACGTTGAATTCTGAAACAACCGAACGCCATTGAATATCAAATTCCTTGGTTGTCCACCAGGAAGCCATGCATTTTGAGAATGCTGCTGTAAACTTTAGGTCACCAATGTTAGCTTGTGCATTGCGAGAAAGATGCCAAGAACATAATATGTGCTTAGCATAAGGGATAACAGATTTGATAGCCCTCTGAATTGCCCTATCCCCATCGGTGACAAGTGAAATAGGTGATTTATTCATCATGGCTTCTAAAATATTCTGTAGCACCCACTCGAAAGATTGAGACGTCTCGTCAGCGATTATGGCAGTGGCAAACACAATTGTGTTATGGTGATGATTGACACCAACAATAGGCATAATTGGTCGACCATACAAATTATCTTTGTACGTTGTGTCGAACGTAATTACATCACCGAATCATGTGTAATCCGATCTCGATGTAGAATCCGACCAAATAAGATTATACAATGCCCCCGATTCGTCTACCGAGTATGTCATAAAAAACTCGGGATCATCATGTTTCTTATAATCAAAGTAGGCAATAAGCGCATTCACATCCCCATCGACGATTTCCTTTGCTTTACCTCTTTGAAGTGCATTGTAGAGGTCTTTATGTGTAAATCCAACATTATGATAGCCCCCTGCCTGCTGCGTTAAATAGTTCATTACTTGTGACGTGCCAACACCGACCTCTTTCAATATTGTTGCCTCATCGATATCAGCCTTACTTACAGCTCTATTAGAACACATAAATGGTGTCATAGCAGGTGTGCACAATGCTTGATTATGTTTCTGATCAGACTTACTTATAACCCACTGATCGTTTGTATTTGTTGCTGTAACTACGACTCTAACCTTACATCCTGTTCTTGTGACTGGCGTATGAGCACGTTGACGATCAACAGTATTGACTTTTGATACTCGAAACCCTTCTTTGGAACAACAAAATTATTGTGTCTTCACATTCCCTTTCATGTCAAGCCGTGTTGTTCCCTTACGTGCACTAAACCCATGTTCTCGTGCGAATCCCTTGTAAAAGTACCAAGCTTGATCACGTGAACAGAAGAGCTGACCAACCAATCTGTCAGATTCATCAACATTATGTACTTCATGGCATTCCTCGGTTGGCTTAACATTGCCTACATCAGTATTATCCATGGCAAAAATTTTGTTGTGCAAGTTCAGTGGTCCAGGAGTTGATGGAGATGTAAGCAAAGGTTCATTTTGAACATGTTTCAGTCGTTCAGTAGTTAAAGGGTGGGTACAACATTAAATTCGCAGTACATATTTAGGTATGTACAATAACTACAAGTATCGACCCAAAAAACATCAAAACCAATAATTATAATGTAATAGGTAAATTAACAATGTAACAAGTATCGACCCAAATTAATATTATTTTATAAAATATCAAAATAATCAAATAATTTTTTGTGTAAATGAAATTATTAAATTAATATTGTAGGTGGAAAACATGAAACACTATTAAAAAAAATTGAAACATAAATTACATAAATTTAAAAAAAGTATCGATCCTTTTTATAAAAAGTATGAACACTTTCAATATAATAGGTAAAAATATGATGTAATAGGTAGCGCTTATATAATGTAATAGGTAGCGTTTATATAATGTAATAGGTAGTGCTTATATTGTAAAGTATCTATTCTTTTTATAAAAGTGTCTATATTTTTTTCACTGTGGAAAACATTAATTTAAGGTTATCTTTTAAGTGAGTTTTAAGATATTAATTTAGTAATTATAGGCGTCTAATGATTTATTTTTTACGTTACAGTATATATTATTATTAAATTGAAAACAATAAACATATATATTACATATTTATTATTATCTTTGGTTAATATTGTTAAATTTAAAATCTAAATAATATTTTATAAAATATCAAAACAATCAAATAATTTTTTGTGTAAATGAAATTATTAAATTAATATTGTAGGTGGAAAGCATGAAACACTATTAAAAAAAATTGAAACATAAATTACATAACTTTAAAAAAAGTATCGATTCTTTTTATAAAAAGTATGAACACTTTCAATATAATAGGTAAAAATATGATGTAATAGGTAGCGCTTATATAATGTAATAGACTAATAGGTAGCGTTTATATAATGTAATAGGTAGTGCTTATATTGTAAAGTATCTATCATTTTTATAAAAGTGTTCATACTTATTTCACTGTGAAAACATTAATTTAAAGTTATCTTTTGAGTGAGTTTTAAGATATCAATTTAGTAATTATATATATCTAATGATTTATTTTTTATGTTACGGTATATATTATCATTAAATTAAAAACAATAAACATATATATTACATATTTATTATTATCTTTAGTTAATATTGTTAAATTTAAATTCTATATATTATTTTATAAAATATCAAAATAATCAAATAATTTTTTGTGCAAATGAAATTATTAAATTAATATTGTAGGTGGAAAACATGAAATTCTATTAAAAAATTGAAACATAAATTACATAACTTTAAAAAAAGTATCGATACTTTTTATAAAAAAAGTATAGACACTTTCAATATATTATAATGTAATAGATAAATTTATAATATTATCGGTATAAATATACCGATTTACTTATAAAACAGGTCAATATAAGCGTTACCTATTACATTATATAAGCGCTACTTAATATATTATTATACTTTATAATATTTTCAGTTAAATAATATAACATAAACGGTTTAAATTTTAACCGATCATTTATTTAACCGATCACACCGTATATTAACTGTTTTGTAGGCGTAGCACCGCAGAAGTACCCCGTTCCCATTCTCCTTTATTAGCACAAATATTTTAACAGAGCTTTGAAACTTAACCCATTTCGGCATTTCAATTGCTTTTACTAGTTGTTACTTTGCTACACTTGGTAAGCTTTCCTTTACCTTTTAATGTTCTCGTTTTATTCTTCTTCGGGTTCCCGAGAAAATGCTTTGAAGGAAAAAGACAATTCCCCATTTTTTTTCGGCATTTTATGTTTCAAGTGAGGGTTTATTGTTTGTGTTGTTTTCTTCTCACGTTCTTTTGGATAATAATGTTGCTTTTGGCCTTTTTTTTGCTTTGAAACTGATGAAAAAAGGTTCATTGTATGGCTGGAAAGTAACTAAGCTGAGCTCTGTGTTCAATTCAGGAGCTTTGTAATGGCAGCCTTGCAGACATTATTCTTTTTTCTTAAGACTTGTATAAAGGAAATCGAATCTCAGAAAGGTTTTCCTTTTCGGTCTTTTCAGTCTTTTTTTTTTTCTTTTGTTAGTATTTAGAAAAATGGGTGAACTTTACTTTGTTCCATAAGCTGCTGTAGATCTTGTTTTGAGGGTGCTTGGAAGCAGTTTAAACTATTCTTAGCTGAAAAAAGAATTTTCCCAGAAAATATTTTCCTGCGAAACATACGAGTTAATATTCACTATTGTGTTTTTGACGCTAGATAATCAAAAAGGTTTGACTGGCATTTGGAATCATTTTTCTCCTATGTTCTAAAATTTCAACTCCCACGCTTTGTCTTTACATTTCATCTCCCCATTTCACGGCAACAATGGAGGAAGAAAGTTCACTTGCTTGATTACAATAATAACCCTCTTTTTTAATGTTAAGAATCATTAAAAAAAGGGTACTTCTAGATAAATTTGACTGTTACCATCCCCTTTAGCTGTAGGGTCCCATGGACCATAAACAAAAGTAAGGGTTTTGGGTAGCATTAAATGCGGTAAAGATGAAGGGTAGCTATTACTGTCGGGTACATTAGAGGATAGCTCATGCTTTGCCTTATATTTTTTAGCCATTGTAGTTTCATATATGATGATGATAAGGAGCACTTGCCTTTCATATGAGCTCATTAAATTTTCTTTTCTTTTTCACCCACATTCGCATTGAATTCTTCTGCCTCGGCTCGTGACAATTTTCCGATCCATTGCAGGCGTGGGGCAGGGAAGCATTGAAGTGGTGTAGGATAAATAAGCTTCACTTGTTTATTTTCCTTTTAACTTTCTGTAGGGACAAGATTCTTTAAATTATGCAGACTCCTAAAGCAAGGTAACTTCTAAATTCTATTGTCTTTATGAATGCTCATTCTTCACTTGTTAGAAGCTTCTTAGTGAGTTTCGGCTGATGCATTTGTGCGGTTATTCTTGAAAATTAAGCTTAACCGGTGGCTCGATCTTTTACAGCAATGCATTGATATAATGCACATTCAGGGAATATCTTTCCCGGTTGTATGATATTTCGGATTTTTATCTTGTAGATACTATTAAGGGCCATATTGTCGGGTTACCGTTTTGTTTGTTTTGTACCTTAATGATAGAATAAGTCAAGCTCCTTAATGGGACTAGAAAATGCTGTAAGTGCTTCATCCTTCCAAAAGAAAACTTGTGGTTCGTGATCTGTTTGAGACCATTACCTAATCTGTTCCGTTGTGTAGTATATTCTCGGTAATCTGCTTGTTTCAGAAGGAACAAAAGAGAGTAAATTTAAAGCTTTAGTAATTTTGTTTAGGTTTAAGAAGGTGGGGAGTATAATTGAAAATTGGAACAAGGGATCTTCTATCCCATTTTAGAACTAATATGCAGTAAGGTTTTGCCATTACAGGGGATATGATGTTGAATTTGTATTACTTATTAGTGTAATTTAAATAATAATAAAAATTCCTACACAAGTGCTTAAAGAAATATATCCTCTAAACTGGAGGCCTGTTGAGTTTATTATTGAAGTCTTCGAGTGTTATTGTGTTTTTTTTCATCTGTACCAAATCATGGGGTAACCGTTGTTTAGCAGAAATGGATCTTCGGAACTGCCACAAAGGGGCGCTCATCGAGCTGTTCGTCAACTCAAACCAACCACATTAGAGACCGAAGCTGTATTGAACTCAAGTTCAACCAGTAGAACTTCAAAAGAGAAAAGTCCTAAAGTTGTTGAACGTCGTTCACCTAGAAGCCCGGCCGCTGAGGTATGCAAAGTAGGGAATGGTATACAAATATTATCTGACACTGCTGAACCTTAGAAAGCTTTGCATCATAAGTGCTTACCAACCCTTACTTTTGAAGTTCCGATCAGTTCTACCGTTAAATTCCAATCCATTTTGAAGAAGAATAATGGTTTGCTTTGTTCTTCGATATCTTGCATCAAGTTTGTTCTCTAAGCATCTATTAGGGTGATGGTTAGGATTGATATGGCAATTATTGTTGGTGGCTGAGAAAGAGGTTTTTATAATTCCTTAAGAGTGATTCTTTCCAAATTACTTGCAGACGAGACGTGCATTAGCGTCCATTAAACATTGGTGTTTTTAATAACTAATCTTATCGTCTGTTCTTGCTTTGGAAGAAGCGCCTAAGCAGAATATCCGAATTGGAAGAACAGAATTCACAGCTTCAAGAAGAACTAAAGAAGGCAAAGGATCAGCTAAGTTCGTCTGAAACATCCAGGAAGCAAGTTGAGCAAGATGCTGAAGAGTCCAAGAAGCAATTGTTGGACTTGTCTGAGAAGCTCGATGAGTCCCAAAAGCAGCTTCTCAAGCTATCTGGTTCCGAGGAAACTCATGTAGATGAGCTCCATAAGGTCTCACAAGAACAAGATCAAGCATGGCAGTCAGAGCTTGAAGCTATACAGAGGCAGCAGTCTCTTGACTCAGCTGCTTTGGTCTCAGCAGTGAACGAGATTCAACGACTTAAGGATCAGCTTGAAATGTCGGCTGAATCCGAGGCTGCACAGACCAAGCGAGCAGAATCAGCACATTCGGAGCTCCAGAGCTTGAAAGGAATCCTGGTCGAAACTCATTCTCTTGTAGAGAACATGAAAAAACAGTTGAAGGATAGCCAGGAATCGGAAGCTCAGACCCAAGCATTCGCAAATGAAACTCTGTTACAACTAGAAGCTGCGAAAAAGACTGTTGAAGCACTTAGGTCGGAAGGCATGAAGGCCGTTGAAGCTTACAGCTCCATTGCTTTTGAATTAGAACAATCGAGGAAACGTGTTTTTTCACTCGAAGGACTTGTTCACAAACTGAAGGCAGAAATGATTCGTGCTGGTGGCAGTCTCTCTACCGAGTTTGATGTCAACTGTATTGCTGCTGAGCATCAAGCTGGAGAAAATGAGAAACCCGCGGAATCTCGCCAGCTTGAAGCAGAGATTTTTTCTTTGAAGTCTGAGGTGGCACGTCTAACATCTGCTCTCGAAACTGCTGAGACTAAATGCCATGCAGAAGAAACCCAAAGCACCGCAAAGATAAAAAGTGCTCATGAACTGGTTGAGCAGATAAAATCTGAAGCAAGCTCGAAAGAGGCCGAGCTGTTAGCTGAACTAGAGAAAGCAAACAATGCTATTGCTGACTTGAAGGCAAACATGATGGATAAGGAAACTGAGTTGCAGTGTATCTCAGAGGAAAATGACGAACTTCGCATGAAACTCGATAAAAACCTGTCACGCCAACGAAAATCAGAAATTGAAAACCAGCTGAAGTTATTGAATGAAGCTATTGTTAATCTGAAGGCAAATATGATGGATAAGGAGACTGAACTTCAAATATCAGAGGAGAATGAGATGCTCAGGTTGGAAATCAGTAAAAGGGACATGGACAAAGGTAAAACAAATGATAAAGTGTCTACTGAGCTAGATGAGGCAAGGGCTGCCGAGCGAGAAGCAATTATGAAGCTTGGGCTTGCAATGGAGGAGTCTGATAAGAATAGCAGGAGAGTTGCCAGGGTGGCTGAACAGCTCGAGGCTGCTCAGACTGCCAATTCCGAGATGGAAGCAGAGCTGAGAAGGTTAAAGGTGCAATCTGACCAGTGGCGCAAGGCTGCAGAAGCAGCTGCTGCAATGTTTTCGGCAGGTAATAATGGGAGGTTCATGGAGAGAACTGGTTCACTGGATAACAATTATAATCCAGTTAAGGGAAAGGTTAGCTCGCCTTACACCGAAGATTCGGATGACGAGTTGATAAAGAAGAAAAACGGGAACATGCTGAAGAAGATTGGCGTGTTGTGGAAGAAGCCACAGAAATAGGCAACCAAGAGGCATGCCAAATATATATTTTATCAAAATTGCATTGATGCCATGTTTTCTTATCTTAATATCTCTAACTGAGGTTTCTCACATTTGGACAGAGATCAAGTACTCAAACCGTCTTTTTGTTGTGATGTTCGTGAAAGTTTAGTTACGAACGTCTGAACACCGGTGGCGGCATGTTTTCTTTTTCTTTTCCTTTTATGTGGATATGTAAAATGCGAGTGTCATGGCCTCAACTTGTGCTTATAGGATCAGACATTTTATCTTTTAACAATGTAAGTTTGGATTTGGATTCCATGGTTTTTCTATTAAGCTGCCTGCTTAAGTATGGCCATCTCTTTATCCCCTGCTAAATGCTAACAAGAATGATTTACGGTAAGGTATAGCGTCATTAATCGGACTCGGGTGTGTCAAATATGGTTTCATAAATGGCAGTTGGATAAGTTTTTCCACGACTTCCCACCCGAATCCAACTTTCTTATGATTGCATCTGCAAGCATCTCGGGAGTGGCTCATTGGCTAGCTTTTGTGCGCTCTAAGTGTTTATGCATAAGCGTCAGTGTTTGATAGAGTCAATTTTTTTGAATTAGTCTAATTGAAGAATGTTATTTTATAATTTAATTTTTATTTGATAATTTTAGTAGAACTAAATTTATGTAATTCAAGTCTATAAAATTTAAGTTAAGTTGTTTGAATTTTTATTTAAGTTTACTTATAAATATTTATAATGTTATGATACTATTTGATTTAAATTTAAAAGATTTTCTATAATCATATATATATATATATATATATAAAGTCAACCGTTCGACTCAAAAATCAACACTAATTATAAAATATTTTAAATTATTCGAATCTAATTTAAAATTCAAACTTTGTTTAAATTTTCTACTAGTCAAGCCACAGAGAATATTTTTAACATTGAGTTAAATAAAAAAATGATTTTTTTAAATTAATTTGGGGTTTACTCAATCCTAATTACCCATGATTAGCTGTCCGAACTTCATTGAAGATAAATTTAGGAATTAAGAATTAGTTATAAGATTCAGACACTGATGGCTTGCATTTGGTTTAATTGTTGAAATCGAAAAAAAATGGGGAAAAAAACTTCAGATCCATTGCACTGTATTTTGTCTCGTATCATAATCATATTTACTCAGAAACACAGTATGCTTATTACAATAATATTCGTATCATAATTTTATATCATGTTCAAAATTGTCTAAATCTACATGAACCAAACATATGGGAATGAATACAGCCGGCTAAAAACTAAAAGTAAAATAATTCTCAATTTTCTTTTAATATCTTGGGATGATTATAAAGTAGTATTTGTTTAAATAATTTATTAACAATGCACATACCTCTGCAGACACAACTGCTCGAATACAAGACCACTGATAATAACATTCTCAAATTTTAAAAGGAAACGAATCACTCACTCCTGCTGTTGGAAAAAAAAAGTAACTTGCAGTTAGTTACATATATATATATACGTAAAGCAAATGTTTCACCTCAACTTAATATTATTAACAATGGGTTGCAAGGTAAGAAAAACGTCCCTTAACAATTATCTAATTACTGACGTCATTAATCCAAACAACCTAATTTTAGTCAGGCACTTGATTAAAGCTCTGAAATTAATTCTAAAAAGTTACTTATACAAAATGGTAATGATCTAACAACATTCTGCCACAAAATCATTGTAAATAAGTTGAAGCTTGCCATCAATCTAACTGTCGATACTTGTTTTTTAACATTGAAAACTTACCATGATCCACTACTTCTTCATAGCACGGTAGTATCCACTGGATAGCTCCCTAGAACACGCAAGAAAGTTGCAAACTCCTGCCCAGGGAACATTTTGTTAGATATCTAACAACCTTGTTTCAAGGGGAGGAGGAAGAAGTTGCCCAAGGCTTGAATCTAGACTAAGACCGTAAATGAGACAAGACAGATCGTAAGTTATCCGAATTTGATTCGATCTAAGTTCGGTCAACACTCGACTCGACTCGATTAAATATCTAACAATCTTGTTTTAAGTGAGTTATTTAATACCCGACTTGAAAAACTCACAAATAACTCAAAAAATAATATATTAAAGATTTACTTTTTTAAATTAAATCATTGATAATAAAAACATTTATATGTGATATTTTTAAATATAGTATAAGGTTCATGTTCGTGCTCAAGTTTGAACCGAGTTTGAGTTCGAGATTCAACCCAACTAAGTCTAAGAATGTTTCGAGTTCAAGTTTTTTTGGTCCGAATTGTGCTTCAATTTTTTATTTTGAGTTCAAGTCAAACTCGTCAATTTTAAGCTAGCGAGATTTCGAGTCTCAATAATACTCGAGCTCGACTCGTCCCATTTTCGGCCCTAATCTTGACTGGTAACCAACTATAGATTTCAAACATACTGTTAGATATCTAAAAACTAGTGCTTCCGAATGGTTATGGAAGAGGCGGAGCAATATACCTTCAGATGTCTTAGGGCATCCTGTGCTCTCCAGCCATGGATGCTTCGAAGTCCACATAAACGGTAGTCAAAATATCTAATAGAACAAATTGACACAATTAACTTGAAGTCCGTTTAAGCAACCCAAATGGTTGGTAGTAAGAAGTAAAAAAACGATGTATATAATTAATCAATTTTACTAAAATTACTTTGAACCATCATTGCTATCATCAGATGCTCTGAAAGGCTGGTTTCTCAAGGGACGGCTTTCAATCTGAACAATGGTAACAAATAAATAAAGTATTTTAATACACCCTTTCAAATGTAATTTTGCAAAGTAACTTGAAAATTCTACAGAGAATTTATATTTATAAAAAACCTTTGTAAGGTTGATCTGCCGAAGGGCAAAAACAGCAAGTGCCTTGAAAAGAACACCGGGTACATCCTCAAGTGAGAAAATTATACTAGTCTGCAAATGAATAGCATTAATAGAAAATTCATAGAGTACAATGATTCATAAATGCAGCATGGAAAAGGAAAAACTATGACCAAGTACTTCGACTGCAAATGGTATTGTTGTTCAAAGGCTTACCTTGAATGGCTTCTCCACTCCAGGAATAATGGGTTCCCTGGCCAGCGTCAGAAATCGAGTAACATTATCAGAATCATCCTGTCAAAAAAAGGAAGCGCGCCAGATGTCAACGTTCTGACAAATCCAGCACAAAACAAATATGAAGACATAAACCCCAATATCTTCAGCAAGAATGTTCAGTCCATATGCAGCCGTGGAACTTGCGACAGCTTGTGTATCTTTTAGTTTCTCGGAGGCCACGTGCTGCGGATAAAGGCATTAAACCAGTCAAATTCAGAAAGTAATCCAACTATTTTTAGTATCATTTTAGTCACCCAACTATTTTTTTAGAATCGTCACTAAACTACATCTTTATTTTTTTTTTGGTCACTCACTATTAAAATACTAACAATAATACTGACATATCACTGTAAAATAGTATCATGTCATAGTAATATCTATGCTCAAATCAAAACTCACCTTCAATTGCTTCTCTACTCAACCCTATCTTTGTTAAAGTGTATTCACACTGAGCAAGAGCCTGAAATACGATGGAGATAAAATAAATAAAATTGAAAACAAGAAGAAACTTAGTAAACAAGTAACACAAACAAGCATAATTTTATATTAAGGGACGAAAATAGATTATCAACAGAAAATACAAGAAAAATATTTAAAATATATTAACATTTAAAATTTTCAGGGGCATTACCCTCGTCGGCTCCCCTCGATACATCTCTAATCATACTTGAGGATGACTAAGAACCCTTTTTAAGTCCTCGACTCTAACACCGTGATTGGCTACTAAGCAATGATGGACTGCAAGCTTAACTTCCTCAACAATGTGCAAGCTATGGCGGAGCAAAAGGTCGTAATTTCGATGAATACTGCCACCTAAGGATTTCTCGATTGGTAATACTGCTCTATCCACTAACCCCTTTTCAACAGCCTAATTAAAACCAGTTGTTAGTGAAGACTAATCAAATATGCCTACAATTTCAAAAAGAGCCTCGTTTTCTAAATTCTAACATGGAAACTAAATATTTATCAATGAGAAAAAAAAAGGAAAAAAAAAGGAGTTCAAGTAATTACATCAAAAACAGCATCAAGTTGATCCCAAGGAACAGGTTCACAATTCGGATAGGCCTTCTCAGCAGCTGCTTCGCTGTAGGCGCCGCTAACTCCCTTTCAAGATTCAACATAAATTAATCAAACAATTTCACTGAAATAAAATTTATAATTCTATAATTAAAAATATAACGTCCCATTCTGCAAGTTAAAAAATCAAATATAGAGAAGTAGTCGTCATAGTTAAATAAATAAAAACGGTAACGTATCCATTTAGTCACTCAATTATTATCGTAATTTAATTTTTATAATTACCGACTAATTTTTTCTAAATAATATCTAAACTCATTTTTGTTCGTTTCGATCACTTGCCTTTAAAAAGAAAAACTAAAAAGTAACCACCTGAGATGCAACGCGAAGGTCAGAGATTGTATTGGATGACTGGGATGAAGTAAGTGGTCCTGAAGAAAAGGAAGTGAAATGCCAAAATTTAAAAATAAAATACAAATACTAAAAAGAAAAACGACAACGGGGATTTTCATACTGGGAAGCAATGGGGAGTCTTTTGAAACACCGTCGTACTGGGAATCATCGAAAAGCTTCTCCAAGCCAACACCCTCTGTGATCTTATTACTTTCGTCGTTGATGTTGTTTCCGTCGTAGAGGGAAGCGAAAAGAGTGGTGAAACTACGGCGGTTCACTGAAGATTGGGGAATTTGAAAGGGAGACGCTGTTTTCTGATCGGATACTATCCCTTTACAGGAGAATAGGACCGCAGGGGACCGTATAATGCAAGTTGCCGTAGCCATTAATTTTTCAGCTTCGGATCCTGACAACAATGGCGAAGGCTAGCTTTTGAAGACTTATATTAAAAAATAGAAGAAGAAGAAGAAGGAGATAGTTTAGACTCTTTTTGTAGGGTTTTGGCTGTATACTTACCGTGCCAGACGATCTATACGATTAAAAGATATTAATTTAATTAATTAAGTTACTAAAAATAGGATTTTTACCCAAATTATCTCTTTAATTTAGATTAATGTCTAAAATAAGTTTTTTTAGAGCAAATCCGAATATAACTACACTCGAATTTCGTAGAAATGATGACGATACAACATTTTAAGCTCATTATTAGGTCGGGTTTAATTAAGGCCTATAATTGTGTGATGATGAGAAGAATTTGACATATTGTCAAAGTCAAATCTTGTATCGTCACTGTGAAATCTTAGTTGTAGGCATGACATGAGTCGTTT